CAAGCAGAAGTCATACAAAATCATGATAATGAGAATGTTCGCAACATCGGACAAGGCGAAGCCCGACACAGAAAGTATAAGAGGCTTAAACTTGGCGGCGGTCAGGCATACGACCGTTCAAGTGACTAGACTGCCGTGGTAGCAAATACTACTAGGATATATATGTATATATATGAAAGGGCATAATCCGCTGTACCTAGCCTGGACTGACAGAGGCTGTGTATATATTGTACATAGAAGTAAGGATTAAGTGTGTATTTGTAAATGTATGTAAATACAGACAATAGACTTAATACAGACTGACTGACAGATGACAGACCCGACCTCTCATCAGAGAGGGCGCTACACATAGACAGGACGGTAACTTTCATTGAAAAGAAATATCTGGTCATGAGCCCCAGCTGGGGCTCGACACCAAGACAGACAGACTGACCGACCATCAGTTGTAACATGACCCTCGTCCTCGCCCTCGCAATCTGATTGGTTAGCGCGCGTGACGGTGAAAAGTGATGTGAAGAGCGAGCGTTACAGAAATGCGTGATAATGTGGGATGTTCCCACAATACTATGCACGTGAGAAAGTAAAAAGATTTAGATACTCTGTTAGTTTGAACTGTACCCAGCGTTTTGTTTTATGGGTCCATGGATACCTTTCTCCTTGCTTGTATGAAATTAATTCAGAGACTTGGAAGTAAATTCCTCAGAATTATCACAGAATTTCTGCATACAGGGATATTCATAGGCTGCCCTATAAGTGAATTACAATAACTTTTATATAATGACATAAATGTAGTAGATGTCACTCAAAACAGAGATGTGTTGCAGCTGTAGTAAGGGGACTAAAGAACAACTGAAGATAAACTTATGTCAAGATAATGATAAACATGGACATAATTAGTATGAAGAAATATTTTGGACTTAGTAACATTAGAACATCTTAGGATATGTCTGGCAATTATCAAGTACTGTTCATGCTTCAGGCCTGGCCATTCTCATCAGAATGTTCAGTGAATTTGGTCAGGTCCATAAAGGGAAATAAGTATTGTAGCATGTAGAAGAGCTATATAAGGGCCTCAGTTGTAGTGTATCATCCTCCTTCCCATAATGCAGCTGCAACCACCTTGCTAACTTTTCCCATACTTCTCCTCATGCAACTGAGAGGTCACATCTAAAATCATGGCATGTAGTATTGAGTCCATGCAATGGAAATTGTGTATCAGCTGGGCTCTCTAAACAGATGAGTACCAGTAGAAGGCTCTGAAGTTCTTGTTATGTCACTGAAATAAAATGTCCTCAATTGTTGTGAAATCAGTGTGATCATCTTAGTGCAGAATAACCAATCCTACAACAATAATATAAAGTTTATATATTAAGTATTTATTTGTTTACATTATCATATTATGGAGAGAAGTATTATTATCATTCTCATATACAAACATCTGAACTACTGACATAAAAAATTTTCTGTAGGCCCAATTTCTATGAACAATGTATTATCAACACTTTGATTATGTTTCTGCTATAAAGTATATTATAAAAGATAACAGAACTAAAAAACTATGTCACAGTACTTCATTACACATATTAACGTTTGGTGCTAGGCACACTTCATTTTAAGACCTATGACTAGAATACAGGAAGAAAACTCCAACACTGTAATCTGAAGCTTTCATCCTTACACTGCATCTGGATAAGTTTCACTTTCTTCTACATGTAAGATGCACTTTGGTACTGTTATGTCACACTTTATTGTACTTGGAGAAAAATTATATATTTTATGGACCAAGTTTCTATCACCTAACCACACAACCGAAAATCAAAATTTTTTCTAAAATGTATACATCACTTTAATAACATTTGTGACTTTCTTTTCATATCTGGAATTAAAATTAAATATGAGCATCATTCAAAATCTTAATGGATAATGTGCAAATTTTTGTTCAGTTCTATTATATTTGGTTATAACTGAGGTATTACAATTTGTAAACAAGATCAGTATTGCTTGGAGTCTAGAAATGTCACTATAAAGATATGGCATCATCATATATCCATAATGTTCAGTATATTAATTACATGTGAAAGTGTAGATCTTGTTGTACAGTATTTCAGAATGATGTTGTAGAACATTTAAAGTCGGACACTGATGTAATAATTTTGTTGAAGATATGTATGAAAGCCATTTTTATAGAAAGATTTACATCAAATGACTACAGACCGTATTCAAAATCTTTTCTTTGAAATGGTGTAACATTGTGCGATATTTCTCTAAGTTATGGCAAGGCATGAATTCAATGATCCATTCTATGTATTCATAGAAGGCCCACCAAACCTTAGAACATGCTAATTTGATTTGGTTATGGAGCTAGTTTGTCATTTCATTGTATTGTCAAGCTATCAGTTGTGTGTTTGGAGTCAATGTTTATCATTTTGCTCACTACTGGTGATTATAGCAACTGATGCTAATTTATGGGTGGGGAGCCTGTAAAAAAGACACTTGTTGCTCCATTAGACAACTGGCCAAATTCCTTTATTGTCTGTTGTAGCAGGATGATGGCTTGTTTCCATGGTATCACTTGCTTTCATAGAGCAGTTCTTTCATCATAAACTATCACTGCTTCATTGTCTACCAGAGAATCAGTGTCTTTATGGAGGTACTGGCTTCGAGACTTGCTGAGTGCAATTATGGCAGCTTCATCATTTCTCATACGGTTCTTGCGTTTCTTGCTAAAATTCACCTGGAAATAGGAACATGAATACAGGTATTTCATCAATTGGTATATAATCACGGTATGTAACTCAATCACAGTGACACAGTCAGCAGTAGTCACCATCACCAGACCCTTTCATTACAAAAACCTTTGGCCCTTCTCTCTGAATCTGTTTCCATTTGTGTGTTGCTGGTATATCCACCCCAGATTTTACTACCCACTCCTACCCCTCCAGCTGTCTACCTATATCTTACAAAGGCTTCTTAAATTCATCTTTCATGTATTTATCGCTCTCCCTTTTTGATTCTTCACTTCCATTCATACAAAATTGGCTGCCCCTTGCCCTTTGAGTGCTGTTAATCCTGCCTCTGTATTGCACCTTCCTGTTACTCCTGACCCAGTAGCCCCTTCTCCCTCACTTATTTATTATGATATCTCATAAACATATTCTTTCCCATTGGTCTACATTTATTATTAACCTCTCTGGCACCACATGTTCTGCATCTCTTATATGAACGTGGGTGTGTCATATGATGTGTAGGCAACATTATGGAGGAAAACCCTCCATGTTCAATGAGGCCTCCAAGAGGGACCCATGTTAATTTCTCACAAATTTCTTAGTGTCTGAGAAAGAGAATATATGTCTTAGTTAGTTAGTTAGTTATTGGAGAGGGTGGGTTTCCCCATGCACTGAGACCTGTATTGGTCCATTGTGCTTTCCCTCTATGATTTCTACCAGTCTCTATATCCTACTGGTACTGGTGCTTACCATCAGTCCCGCCCAGCCAGCGAGACCAGCTCTACTAGCTGAGAGGTATCTATAATGCTTCCCCCATCTACCAGAGGTATTAGAGACTGCTGTTGGGCGAGAAACGTCCGTTAATTTGGCTCAGTGATCTCCTTTGGAGATATGAGGTTCTTTTACATGCTGTAAAGCTATGACATGGGACCCACGGCTTAAAGTCCCTCCTGGAGGACTTGTTCCCTGAATTTTTCCACCCTTAAAAATTCGACGACCTCCGCCGGGTATTTGAACCCGCGTACTACGAGTCATGAGGTGGGAACGTTACCTCTAGACTATGGAGGCTGCTGAATATATGTCTTTGTGTGGGTGCTGGGACAACTGGGCAAATGATCCTGATGCAATGACACAATTTTTCATCATCATATCATTTCTTACCAACCTACCACTGTTCTTTGAAAGTTAATAATTATGAAGGTAAAAAGGCAAAGGTGTCCCTGTAACAGGCTGTGAAGGCCCATAGGCGTGTGAGAGGCCGAGGCTCCCACATTTTCTAGACAATCAGCTCACAGATGGCAGTAAGGTTGTTGGCCTTACACGCCAGCCACCCTTTTACCCCTCAGCAAGGTTCCTGGTACTCATTTCTCTTACAGGCTGAGTAGACCCCAGGGCCATAGTGTGGCTGGAAGGATTAGGTCAACTGAAAAATCTGATAACCTCATCAGGATTCGATCCTGTGACCTTCCAGCTTGTAGCATAGTGCCTCAACCAATTACACTATCGCGTGCACCTAATAATTATAAACACTGAAATAATACAAAAAAATTATTAAATTAAGAAAGAGGATGTACTGTACTGCAAAAGCAGTGAGTTTAAGGCATGGCAAACATATTCTAATACTTTGTGGAGATCTTAGACATTTCTGTTGATTCTTATGAAAAATTATGTTCAGTTTATGTGATTTCACGCCCTGCAACTTTTCTTTTATACACAGTCACATAAAATGAGGAGTACCTGTAGTTGTCTTCTTGAAATTAGGGCTTTCCAGGTCATTGTTCACAGCAGTCGAAAATTGTTGACTGTAGGTACAAGTCAAGCAGTAGATAATTGCCCATGGCCAAAAGGTGAACTATTCTGTCACAAGTGCTATGATCAGTAAAAGAGCTACAGTCTGATTATACCACTCTTCTTTTCCGTCACAATTCCCACCAAAGTCATCACCATGCAGACGTCAACAGAACAGTGTATCCTTGACCAGGGGCAATCATTAGATGGTCATATAACATTTCAATGCTGAAGTACAAACCATGTACTTTTTTTTTAACTGCAGCTTTGATAAACTGATCATTGTCATATATTATATTTTACTCTTTGTGTTTTATTGATTGACTGAAGCCAACTTGGGGTTTCATATTCCTTTAAAATTTTGAACATGCTACTTCTTGCCACTGCCACTTTTTCTGCTATGTCTGATATTTCTGTGTGAGAATTACCCTTCAGTGCAGTCTCATATACATTTATAGTTGTCATTTTTTTCACCTATATGAAAACCATTCCCTCAGACATATTTCCTAACTAGAAATGAACTAGAGTTTTCAGTCATGCTAAAGAACTGAATAAGTTCACAGCAACACTTACGAGAACTACCAGCAATTCTTTCTGTATTAATGCAATAACCTATATCATCCCGAAGTGGCCCGCTGCAGTACTCTTTATAAAGATATCAGCCCTGTGATGGCATGTTATGCCATTTCAGCACTGTGCTCCTTATATGCCTTTGTGACACAATAAACTGTCAGATCTGACAGCTGTTATCTGTTGTGTGTGGGGCTCATGGCTCACAGTGCTTCATGTCATGCCTGCTGATGAAATAAACAATTTTGGAAGTGTCTGCAATGAGTCTGACACAGATGAATGACTCACAAGATAAGCTAATTCTTAGGTCATGGAGAATTTAAATGCAACTACTCTATATCTCGGATATATTTATAATTACAAACTACAAAAACAAAAGTACAATTTCTATTGTGCTTAAAGCTCATTCTGTGATTGCTGCATTATGTAATGCAGACTTCATACTTTGATTTCAATACTAATATTTTACCATATTTTAGCTGAAAGCCTATTGTGACAAAGTGGGAGGGGCCAAAATAAAATATTCATCAGATCTGGATACTTCTCCTCTGCCAGGAAATCTGGCTTGCAAAGTCTGGACAACAAGGGCTCAAGTTCACTCAACATTTTCTTGCTGTTTTCACAGCAATTCTCCATCTGCGGGCAGATGAGACAATTAGACTCTGTCACCAATATCTGGACACTCATGACTACCACCACGGCACACCCCACACCCTACAACTGTACTTCATTTGATTTCACACAATAACAGTACACACACACACACACACACACACACACACACAGACATATGGCCAACAGTACAACAATCTATAAGATATTCTACATAACCAATAGCAGAAAAATAAGACTGCTGTTTAGCCCCTGATATTAACTGATTACTTATAACAGACATAACTTCATTTGATTGGATTAACATTTTATATTTCTTTCTAGTGCTGGCTGCCCCTCGTGATGATGGCAAGTGGTGGTCAAAACATGAAAAGGCAAACTTTTATATTCTCCTACTAAACTTGTTACAGTTCATGGGCCTTGTTGTTCATTAAGTATTAAGAAGTGTAACAGCTCAAGATATCTCTTATAAAGGTATGCCCTACAACAGTGATCACCTTGGCATAGAGCTCTGAAAGATCATCCTCAGTCGACAGGGGGCGTGATTTTGATCTGACCCAGGCAGGCAGGCTCCTAGTCTTCAGCACAGCTGGGCCGGGGGGTGCCTCACCCCCTCGTGAACCAACCTCATCCAGAACTGTGAACAAATATGAAACTGTGTCATGTTAGCTTAAAGTGAAAAACCAAAAGGAAACGTGAAATTAAAAACTAAAGCAGAATGCTATATTTAAATAAAATTCTTAGAAATAAATCAACATATTCATACAAAATAACAACTACATTAAGAGTATTTTCTAAATGTCTGACAGGCCATAACATAAACTGGTACTTTGAAAATTAGAGTCCTTCATGGAACAGTAATATGTACCAACCCCATTCCCAAGAGAAATTATATTGTCATGGGTTCGATACCCGATAATATCATTGGATTTTTCAATTGACCTAATCCTTACAGCCACACTATGGCCCTGCAGTCAATTCAACCTCTAACAGAAATGAGTACCAAGATTCTTTCTGGCGGTAAAGGGCAGCTGGTTCATAAGGCTGATAAAATCACCACATGTGGTCCGATCGTCTAGAAAATGTGGGAGCCTCGACATCTCACAACTCCATGGCCTGCTACAGAGATAGCATTACCTTTAAAGTTATGGTACTATTACAATGCGAATGGCCAGAGCGTTGCTAGGTAACAGACCAATAAACACACGCGATACACACTCACAACAATGGAACAATGAGGTTATTCAACCCACTTCTAAGCAACGGTTCGGTAAACAGACTTCTGCACAGGCACAATGTTTCACTGCAACAGTACTGGCTATCATGTGACTTGTTTTCTGTGTTGCCCATGTGTCACCTATATAATGAATTTCTGTTCAGTCCATTGTACAGGAAACTAACAGAAGCAGGGTAAAATCTGCTGTACTGGGCCTGGACTGACAGAGGCCCTGTATATATTGTATATACATTTCTAATATATTTAACATGTAAATTATAAACATCTTTTACATTATGACAAGGGACTTACTATTGCAGATAATGACTCTGACAAAAGACAGATCTGTCCTCTCATCAGAGAGGGTGCCCCACAATAACAAGACTCTAACTGTCAAACAGTAATAAATATCTGGTCATAAGCCCACATGGGGCTCAACACCAAGACTGACTGACTGACTGACCACCAGTCACAATGTGAATTTGACTCTGAACACCCCCCTGGGACATGACGCCAGATCCACAAGGCCACACAGTCCAAGACTGACTCACATAGCAACCCCCTCCCCCAAGCTTAAGGGTTAATGCCCTCCCATTAACCTTGCCTTTCTCCCTTGACACAATATCCTATACCTGCATTAACCTTGCTCCTGTCCCAGACCCTTCCCCTCTCCCTCTCCACTGATTTCCTATGTAGACTTGTCCCTCTCCCTTCCTTCCCTGCTTTCATATAGCTGAGTTTATTTCCAACATTAGTCTGCTTGCACCTGTTCTCACTGTCTCTTTGCTAGCGGATTTTCTTATTTTCCTTCTACCTTGAAGATGGAGGCTCTACGTTGGTCCGAAACGTCGGTTAACACCACATCTACACGGTGTCACATCCCAGAAGACTGCTTTCTTTATCAAGATATTAGTTTGGCAAGATGTGCCATAATGTAAATTCATGTGTTTCACTTTAATGTTCATCATTATTATAAAATGATGAAGTCAGATATTTGTGAATAACAATATCAAATAAAAAATTAAGAGAACATTATATCTGGGAATACTTGCTACCATTTAGATTAGATTTTTTTGTCTTCCTGTCTGCTTTTAAAAACACAGAGATTAAAATACATGTTACCATCTGTTTTGTAAGGATGTGAACCTTGGTCTACTACATTAAGAGAAGAACAGACTGAAGGTGTCTGAGAATAGGATGCTGACCTGGATCTAAAAGGTAAGAAGTAACAGAAGGCTGGAGGAAACTGATAAAGAGAAGCTTCATAATATACCCTCCTCACAAAATATTATTGGGAAGATCTCAAGGAGAATGAGATGGGCAGGGCATATAACACATATGAGAAAAATGAGAAGTGAATACATAATTCATGTTCCAAAACTTGGGAGACCTGTGTGTAGACAGGAAGATAATATTAAACAAATCTTTAAAAAATAGGGGGAGAATGTGGGCTGAACTCATGTGGTTCAGGATGGGGGACTGGTGATGGGCTCTTTTTAACATGGTATTGAACCTGTGATTTTCATGCAAGCCGGGAAAATTCATAACAAGCTAAGCAGCTATTAGCTTCTCAAGAAGGATTCTGCTTGATGGAGATAGTTCATTATCACAAAACAGTATGCTATATGAAGAATATGTACCTTTACACATAATATAAAATATTAATCTCATTAGCACCTGTAACAGTGGCCAGAAACAATTTTCAGTCTTCATCATATATACTGAATTACTGATCAATATACTCAGGCCTCCTTGCATGCAAAATTTTATGAGCCAGATTCTGAACAAAATTTATATGTTGTAAATACAATTCAGTAAAGACTCTGATTGCCACACTTCATCAGAAGCCATTCACCCAGAGAGGGGCATTACTATGTTCAGTGTGCACACAAGCATGGTAGACTTTAGAAGCCTGTTACATTATTAGCTTGCTTCCCTGAATGAGGCTTTTTGTGATTCCACTCAGATCCTTATGTGTAATTCACGATTACCTTCAAAACCTCTGCAATTGAAAGGATACTGTTGAATAACCAATCACTAAAATCAGTGGCAAAATACATTCTCTGTGGTCAGCATAATCAGCAAGCAACTACTTCATTTTTTCAGAGTTTAGCAGAAATGTAACATAAACCAGTTTGTATCACATAGGATTTCAGGGTCTCACAGTAGTGGTTATGAAGACCTCTGTCTCCTGGGGTATAACTCTGTGTAGTCCCGCGAACGTCAACAGCTTTTTCGGAGGAACATACTGCCTCCATCTTCAGGGTTGAAGAATATGCCAAGCAAGACAGCAGCATTAAGCAGACAGCCTACTTACTCTTCAACCCTGAAGATGGAGATGATACATTCCTCTGAAATGTCAAGGCATTATATCCCAGACGATTCAACTCTTCAGTATGTACCAAAGTCATGCAAAATAAATCTGAGAAATGTTGCTGGAGGTGGGGAAATTAAACAGTGTTAGTCTGTGAATACTCACTGCTGCTTGAAGCATACTGTGTACTCTGAGCAGTAAATTCTGAAATCTCTGGCAGATGGTTCTGCTGCCTTCCTTCTGCATTTGTTGCTAGGTCACAAGGCCCAAACCTGATTGGCTGACTGACTGGTCTTCGCCTTTTATCTGATGTATTTGGTGGCTACAATACAATGTAAGGAAAACAGTACGTAAATCTTGACACAATCAATGGGTTTGTACCAGTCTGGCAAACCTTACTCTTACTCATATAGTAAACCATAGAACTAAATAAAAAAAGCCTAGAAGTAGAATGGAACTGGAGCAATAATATATATACATTAAACAGCTAAATTATTGAGACACATGGCGAATCACAAGCTGGAAGGTCACAGGTTCAATTCCCAATGAGGTAACTGGATTTTTCAACTGACCAAATCCTTCCAGCTGCACTATGGCCCCAGGGTTGACTCAGACTCTAACAGAAATGAGTACCAGGAATCTTCCTGTGGGATAAAGGACAGCCAATGCATAAGGCTGATGACCTCACCGTCATCTGTGGGCTGATTGTCTGGAAACTGAGGAAGCCCCAATTTCTCACAACTTCATGGGCTTCCACAGCCTGTTACAGGGATAGCTTTGGATTTTTATACAGCAACAAATATGAAGACTGGCTGTAAGGGGCTACAAAGAAAAGTGAAAATCATGGCATGAGTTCTTTCAACAAAACACTTCAGTGTGATGATCTATGTATTTCAGATATCACAACATATGAGATGCCAGTTTTAAAAGAATATATTTTCAGAAAATGTTCATACTATTAGAAGGGATCTAAATAATCAGCTCAAGCATACATTTTTTCTTAAACTATAATTCATGTAGTCTGGTTATAAAAATTTAAGAAACTTTATATGGTAAATAAAAAAAGGTAAAGCTATCCCTGTAACAGGCCGTGGAGGCCCATAGAGTTGTGAGATGTTAAGGCTCCCACATTTTCTAGACAATTGGCTCACAGATGGCGGTAAGGTTGTCAGCCTTATGCACCGACTGTCCTTTACACCCCCAAGAGGATTCCTGGTACTCATTCCTGCTAGAGGCTGAGTCGACCCCAGAGCCATATTATGGCTGGAAAGATTAGGTAAACTGAAAAAATCCACCTCATCAGGAATTGAACCCACAACCTTCCAGCTTGTAGCATAGTGCCTTAACCAACTATACTACCGCATGCCCCCTTACATGGTAAACATCACTATAATCTTCATATTGTAAAAATTATGATAATAATCATAATAATAATTTTGATATCATTATTTATTGTTATTTGAAACATAATTAATCTGCAAAATCTTATGGCTAAATTTTATAAATTTTATGACAAACTTCTAAAACGGTGGAACTGAGGTTTCCACAGCAGTGACTAGAGGATACTATTTTTTTAGATGTAATGCTTCTACTAGACTAAATGAAGTTACACATCACGAGACACTGTCAAAAATAGAACTTTAAAAATGTCTCACAAAGTAATGTGTGTGGAGAACACTTTCTTTATTTTACAGTGATGCTATGTGTAAAATCAAGAGTAACTGAGTTCATATTAAGAAAGGGGCATCATCTATTGCTGATATTATTAGAGCTTTACCTTTACCTTTTTATTTGAGTTCCATAATGACAATGAATTATTTCTTGACCAGCAAGTATGTACTACTTAAAAAAACCTCAATACAATTTATAACTGAAGCAAATGAAGTAGAGGACTTACTCCTGCATGACGTGGTGGTGGAGCACAACTTGTTGAACGTGTGAGGGGTCCAGGATCCAGCCGTTCCAAATTAGCAGGACTTAGTACCCTGCTGTTGTAGAACCAGTGTGAGCCAGGGCCAAGATGGTGGGCAGGACCTACTAAACGACTGCTATAGGCCCACTGTCCACTCTTTGGGGCTGCATACACTGCTGAATGGCTGCAAATGCACGCTTGCTTATTGCCATCATAAATCTTGACCTCATAAACATAAGCACTCTACAGAAGTGCAGTATTTAGTGGCATAATGAGGTGGTATAGCACAGTGCATATGGTGACTAGCTACAGGCAGTACAACCAGGCTTCAATTCTAGGCAGAAGCAAGGTATGTACATTTGTATTCTTATAGTTGAAATTCATACACTTTATGTTTGGAAGAGAAAACTAAAATGCTACATAAAATTAAGTAAGGAATTTTTTTTTCTTTATGAATGCTGACAGGGCAAATATTGTTTGACAACCTTTGCTGTCCAGCAAGGAAGTGCCCTTAAATGTTGATATGTAATTTATTTGCCTGATGTATCTTAAAGATGCATAATAGGATGGTCACAACATGGACCTTATGAACTACTTGAGAATATAATGAGCAGCAGAAAATTCCAATATGTCACTGTCCCTTTATTTCTTTCACAACATTTAATAGCTATTAAAAAATTTCAAACTTATGTGTTTATATTTGTTTCAGTTGCACAAGGAATACAGAATAGCAATATCTCACCTTGGCATAACAGACAGCCCTGCCCTTTGTCTCGCTGCAATCTCCTCTCCAAGTCTCGCACCTGTAAATATGTGACATACATGATTCGATTAATAATGCAAAAAAGTAAAATTGCTTCATGTCTGAAAATATGCTAAGTGCATTACCTCATTTCATTAACTTTAAATGCATTTTATAATGTGGAAAAAGGAATATATTGAATGGCTCAAACGTAGCCAAGTACCCTTATACAACTAACTAATTCAATTAATAGTGACAAGAAAGCCATATTTTAAATGACAATGACAAAGCTAAAAATTAAGTGATCAAATATGAGGGCTATTCTCAAAGTAACCTCCAGTGAGCTGTTAATAAAACAAGCAATGAGAAAAAAATATTATATACAAAAAATATGTACATACTTAAACTACTTTTCAATATAGTCGCCACCAGAAAGAGGCACTTGTCATATTGGGGAATAATTTTTTCTATGCCTGTGTCAAAGAAGTCTGCTGACTGTGAGCTTGGCCACATTTTGACACCTTCCATCACCTCATTATTGTTGAAGGGCTGTGATCACAACCAGTTTTTCAGATAGATAAACAGGTGGAAGTCACTTGGACCGAGATCAGAGCTGTAAGAAGGGCAGTCAAACAACTCCCAGTTGAAATACTCCAGCAGTCTTTGAGTTCAAGCAGTTGTACAAGTTGTATGTGAAAGCTCATTGTCATGGAGGTGCACTACACCAGATGTCAACATTCCATACCTTTCGTTTTGATTGGCCTTATGCAGTCTTTTTAGGGTTTTGCAATACAAGGCATGGCTGAGCTCACACGCCGCAGACTTCTTTGGCACAGCTATACATATACTTATTGCCCATTATGACAAGTGCCTCGATTCCGGCAGTGGCTACATTGAGAAGTAGCTTAAGTATGTACATATTTCTTGTATATAATAATTCTTTTTCTCATCTGCTGTTTTGTTTACAGCTAACTGCAAGTTACTTTTCTAATATCCCTGGTATATAAAATGCATTTTCACAACATGACTCACAGTCACTATATATTTATCACAGAAATTTATATGCTGAGGCATGTAACCCCCATTTTTAACACTGTGTCAATGAAAAAAAAGGTGACATTGTGATTTGTAAGATTTTGTCTTGTGCAATAATTTCCAGGAATGAAACTACGATGCAAATGAGTTTCTTTTATTAACATATTTGTATCCCTCCATGTGTAGTATCAATACCTAACTTCAGGCTATGAACACAAAATGTTTCTAAGTTTACGGTACCACTCAGTTTTACCCTCTATAAACTAATTGATCCCTCATTAAGATATAATTGCTCAATTTCCTCTGATCCAAATTGCCTCATCTTGCAGCTGCGGAAGTCATCACATCCCCTACTTCCCCTTCTCCAACTTGTGATGAACTAAGCAACTTGTACAAATAGTGGAGCACTGAAATCACTTCATTTCCTCATTACCTGGCCCTGTCAAAACCGATTATTATCAGAATTTCTGCTGTAATTGAAGATGTGAGAGTTGCGCTTCATATAAAAGGAAATGATTGAGTCATGCAGTCCAGTGGGACAAATTGGACATATCCACATGACAAATTATACAGCACCAATTACGAAGAAAGTCACATTTAACAACAATTCACATCAATGAACTTTAATACAATATCAGTTTCAGCTCTTTATAAGAATTGCATGTCCGACATTTTAAATCTTTTATTCATACATGCAAATTGTAAAGTCTCCTTCAGTGTCTGGTGTTTATGACTGAAACATGTGGGGATTTTTCATTGTGAAACATCATACAGCTATCCTAGAAGTAATTTCCCTTCAGATGATAAAGGCAAATAATATAATCACACAAGTGGAACACACTACAGAAACTAACATTATTTCTAAATGAAACAAATACAGCAGGCCAACATTTTCTTTTGTAAATATTTAAATTAATATTTACATACAGAACAGCCACCACTATTCCTATTTTGTTTTTCCATTAGATCTAATGGAACATTTTTTAAGGTCCACAAAGGTTTCAAAAGACTGGTCTGAAAAAAAACAGGCTTACAATAAGCCTTGTCTCGGCGTGGCACAACACAGCAACGCCAAACAATTGCAGCAATCAGCGTGAGAAGTATCAATGCACCACCACATACTGCACCCACAAGCAGTGGCAGATGTTCGCTTGGGATACGCCAACTGCCCCACTTCCAGCCACCAGGAGAAGATGCTGCTGGTGATGCTGTGCCATTGTCCTGCAACATCAGACACAAGTCTGTATTCATACTGCTGTTTCTGCAGTGCAACACAGGCCCCATAAGTTGAGGGAAATATTTTTCACTGCTTTCAGCCTTACTTCTTAATACATCTCATTTCAAGATTGGTTGATCTGGGATTACTCAACGCTGTTTCTCAAGTGCACAATTTTATAGCACTGAATGGCAGTATGACTATTGATGACAATTTGGAAAGGATGTGAAGGAAGCAGTCATGGTCTATTTTATGGCACTAATCCAGCATATATATGGAGAGACTGAGGAAAACCGCGAAACTCATTGCAGGACTAAGATGGCAGTTAGGTAAACCTTTGAGGTCATAACAAAACAGCAAACAGTATAGGAGAAAAATGCAAAGATGTATATGGTACATATAAAACTTCAAAAAATGGACAAACATGTATTAATCACAAAATTTTAATATCCAGTTTTTCTCTGGCCAGAAGAGATGAACAGTTCTGTAAGCAGGTATCAGCAAAGCGTTGCTGTATGGTAACACGAAAGCAGGACTTGGAGGATGTCAGGGAGGCGCACATCTGGATCACAGGCCACAATAACTGGAATTTTAAGATCAGTTGCATGGTAAGATAGGGTATCAGAAATAAATACTGTGGCATGCAGACAGCCGTTACTAGGTTATGGTTCAGTAAACTTATCAGCCTAACAATGGTGGCACACACAACAGAGGAACACGTCAAATCTGTGATGAAGTTAGGCAACAGGCGAACAGTGGCGCTGCAATGTAACACGTTATACCACGCCACCCACATCAACTGGGGAAAGGTGTTTTCTGTTGGGTCCACTTCAGTGCTACATAACTCGATCAAGCTGAGTTGGGTTGAGTAGTGAATGGGCCCAGGAGATGAGAAGTCTTGACAGTGGAGTGGGAAGTTTGTGGAGTTGAGAGTTTGTCACTGAGCAACGGCTAGAAGATTATAACAGACTGAGACAGCGTGTACTATAGCGACTGAGAGGAGGATAAGAGAAGCTGAGCTGTGGCAGTTGGTGAGAGTTAGTGAGAAAAACGAACAGCGCGATGAATTTGAAGCCACACCAAGATGTCAGACATCCAATTACCGGGATTCCAGAAATACTGAACAAAGAAGCTAGCATCGCTGAAATCTGAATGTCATACCATCATGAACAAATACCAAAAACAACATCTGCAATACTCAGCGACACTGAAATCCCTGCCGGCCGCACACCGGCTGCAGTGGGGGAAAGCTGAGTGTACCTCTATTACGAATAGCGCGGAGAACAGAACAAACTATTGCAAAGCTCTGCATAGAAAGCTGCTTGTTAGCGCCCTTTAGGCCGTCCTGAAGGTGTGTGCGCAGGCAGGACAAAGTGGTACAGTGAACACATCTTCAGTGGAATCAACGACCCAGGGCGACTTCCATTAAGCAGAAAGACGCAATATCCCTAATAATACCTCGCAGACAGTTAAGAAATAATAATAAAAAAAAAACCCGCAGCTGTCAAGGTGACTTCAAAAGCAGCGTTAACTCGCAACTTCTTCGCACCTCTCATAACCGCTGATATGGACACGGAGACTACTGCCGGAGAGATTACACTACCGGGACTGGAGACTCACAGAAAACCAGGTAGGCCACCACCAGGATTGGCTTCTACCATAAACCTCATTCGATGCCAAAGCGACTTATAAACCAAGTAGAAGGAGAGTACGAATTACATAATAAACACATATCAATACAAAAGAAATTACGAACTATTCAGCCACGAAATCCTACCTGGAGAAAGATAATTTACTATATTTTACCTTCTCCCCAAATTCCGAAAAACCCATTAAGGCAGTAATTCGTCACTTTCCTCCCAGGCACGCCAGCGGAAGATATTTCCAAAAGCCTGGAGGACTTAGGCTTCAACGTCATCAGCGTGAGATGAATGTTGGCCAATCGATTAGCACACAACGGACAAACCACGCGGACCCCTCACTCTATTCCTTGTTACTTTAACAAGAAAAATAAGATCTCAAAGAGATATTCAAGCTCAACAGCCGTAATCATATTATCATCAAGGTACAGTTATACAGAGCTCAGACCGGCCTTTCTTCGGTCATATCTGAGCCAAATATAAGCAACCCCCTCGATGTCTGTGTACGGTGGTGGCCAACCTCATAGGGATTGCCCTGAAAAGACAAATACATAATCTATGCCGAGTTGCTGCAATTGCATCCTAGTGGGAAGACAGAAACCTCACCCAGCGTCATATTGAGGCTGCAGCCATGAGAAAAAGCTACAAAGGAGAAAAGCACAGCGAGCTCCCAAGGGAACCTCTGGGAGGACGTTCCGTTCTAAGTTCACCTTACCAAAGCAGTCCTACATAGCTGTACTGCGTCAAGACACGCAGCACCATCAAATTACATGTACCGTGGACAGGTGGGAATCCGCGCGGCGCCCTGTGCAGCAGCATCTGTCACAACAGGACATTCAGAAAAGAGGTCTATCAGTAGAGGCTCCCAGTTCGTCTAACAGTGACATGTTAGAAGTCACCACTGTAGTGAAACAGATCATAACAGAGATCAGTGAAAATGTGTCAGAAAAAGACAAAATAATGATCATTACAAAATGGTACTTAACTTAATGAAACAAAATGGCTGATCGAGTTACTACGCCGCTCAAATCCATAGCATTTAATGCAAATGACAATTGGAAGCAGTACCATGGGCTCAGCAAACAGTTGCAGGACTTAACATATAGACGTGGCTCTGTTCTCAGAGACACACTCAAACCCCATGAGAGGTTCATTATTCCAAATTATCGCGTTTATCGGACTGACCGCTTCTCAGGAAGAAAAGTCAGAACTTCAGTTGCAATGAGAAAAGGCATTACCCACAACAATATAGAACTGCATCCGCTTGTTTCAATAGAAGCAATAGGGGTTTGCATACCGATTAGCATAGCGAAGTGCTACTTGCAGCAGTCTGCACGTATAAGTCACTAGACCATGCGGGGAATGATGCAGACATCGTTGAGCTCTGAAGTTTTAGGCATAAGTCGCTACTGACAGGAGATCTTAAACATCCATTTTGGAATACCGTAGTTTCCAACTCTTCAGGCGCGAAACTACTGCAGTTTCCGCACCACAATGTCGCATTCATTTCTCTCCTGCCGGAAATGGTGACGTGCTCGATATTGTTGTGCATAAGAACGTCCGATTTTCGGAAGACATTCTGGACTCACATCATCTAGCAATCGTCTCCTACTTACTGGATAATGCGTGAACCAGAAATCGTTTGTCTCCTGTTTGCAAATTCACAGATTGGGAGCGGTTTCAAGGACTGACAAATTAACCAATTTCGCCTAGAATCAGGATTAACTCGGAGGAAGAATTAGATAAAGCGGCCCACAACTTTACTGCCTCTATGGTTTCGGCATACATGCTAGCAAGAAGCAAAATTACAATCTCGGACCTTAATGAGAATATACCTGGTCTGGAGAATCTGTTAAAATATAAGCAGAGATAAAGAAACCGTGGCACCAACTGCTGTTCATGGCCCTTCAGGAATAACATGCCACCCTAACGACAAAGCCAAATCGATTGCGAATTGTTTAAAAATACAGTTTGCATCTCATGACATGTGTGACGAACACCATGAACGGTGGGTGGAGACTAGAATCCAAGCTCTGCTCGCATCTGTAGACGGCACCCCGTTGGGAAAAGCAAAACACATACATCAGCAAATTCATTGAAACTAAGAACGGTTATGGACTTGATGGTATCCCAAACGAAAGCCTCAGGCATCTTCAAAGAAAACTTCTGGTACATCTGACACATTTGTTTAATCATCGCCTTCGACTGTCCCTTTTTCCAAAACCTTACCGAAACCCGGTAAGGACCCACAATTCCCTCAAAATTTAAGTCTGATTAGCCTCTAGCAAGCTATTCCAGAAAGTTATTCTGGAAATAGCCCAAAGGCACATTGAGGATAGTGGCCTGCTTAATGCAATCCAGTTTGGTTTCCGTGTCTGTCACAGCATGGCAGTTCAGTGTATGAGATTTACGGACCACGTAACTTTAAATTTCAACAATAATATTACTACGGTTATGGTATTCTTGGACGTTGAAATAGCCTTCGATAAAACATGGCACCTTAGCTTGCAATATAAATTGTCGGAATTAAAATTTTCGATCGGTCTAATCAATCTTATTAGCTCTTTTCTTTCTCAGAGAAAATTCAGAGTCTTGGCTGAAGGTGAATGCCACAAGGTTCCGTCCTGTCCTTAGCACTGTACTGTGTATATACTGTGTATATATATGATATATATGTATATATAACTGATACGCTCCGAACACCTTGTGTCTGTTTAGGTTTCCTTGCTGATGACACCTCTATATATGCGACCGACTGCAAAGAAATTTCCAGCGAGCTGGAACGTAAAAATCAATGAAGTTAAGACTCCGGCCATCTACTTTTCTCATAGATTTAGGCCCCCTGAGGCTCATCTAACATTGAACGGACAGAATATCCCCTTCGTCAATCAAGTAAAATATCTCGGTGTAATCCTCGATAAGAAAGCTTCATGGAGACTGCACGTAGAAATTATTTAAACCAAGGTCTTCAGAACATTTATTAGTGTCTACTCGCTATTCAGTAGTAAGCGTTTAAGCGCTGGCATTAAACAAACCCCTCATAAAGCAATGAGCAATCAATAATGACTAGGACCCGGATATTTATGTGCTAAAAACATTTAAAATGTACGCTAAAGAGCGGGAAAATATGCACTTAAGAAACGAGTCACTTTATTCAGGCTCACCTATTTGCATGTATCATTCACTGCAGAAAGTAGCATCACAATAGGCAACTAGAAGTCTTTCAGTGTTTTCAGGAGACAAACTGCGTCTATTGTCCGTCAAAATGAGTTTATAGGCTGAGAATGATCTTTCTACATCAACTGACGTGATTGGACAGTATGTATACACTGGCGCCAAAGGTTCGGAACATTCATCTGGCAAAGATACCCTAATTCCACTCAAGTACTGACTAAACTGACTGAATCTTTTTTAGTCCTGGGTTCGAATTCAACACCATTTCTAACTTGCATTTAATCTTCTCTCCAATTTCGCCTGGAGCGGAATTCAGTGAACAAGTTGCTTTCTGACCGAGTTCAAGTAAGTCGTGAAGGAGTGCACTACAAGATTCTTAGCTCTTAATGGCTTTTGAAACTGTAGAAAAATGTGCATGGATAAAATTCACATCTTGATAAACAGTATCACTTCCAAACACCACTTTTGCTTCATGGACACATGCATACTCATCTTCAAGTTTTGTAACCACTTCTTTTAGGTAATTGAAATTCTCCTGCTAAAATGAAACTGCGGATATCCATGTCCCCCACCTAGTTAGGACGGGTTCAGGTGGCAGAGGAACCTGAGGTAGGAAATCTTTGTAGAACTAGACATGAGTTGGTGCTTTCAAAAACAGTTTTTCCCACTTGCAATTAAATCGTTAACAGCTGGAAACTGTGCGCATTTTTTCTGCAATACGGTGTAATCCGAGCGCTAAACAGGTTACGTGTATAAGATTTGGATAAAATACTTGTAAGGCCTTTGCTGCTATCAACATATAGGAAGCTCCATCTGTGAGTAATATAAGCACCTTAGAACAATTATTCTCAATTTCAGATGGCCATAGTAGTCGCAGAGAATCATTTACAAATCTTGCTATTGTGCTATGATTGGTTTTCTCTAGTACTTTGCAAGCAAGAAGATGAGGTTTGCCGGGTTCGTCTGGATGTAGCTTACCAGCTACGAAATTTGTTATGTATCGGCCACATAAAGCGGTTGTCTCATCCACCGATATCCAGACACAGTTTCCTCCGATGTCACAATGGGTTGAATCCAGAGTAGATTCATAAAGCAAAGATAGATACTTTTTTCTAAGAGTTGATTCATCTGGGATTTTTTTTAATTACACAATATTTCTCCAGAAATGATTGCAGAACTGGACTGCTTAATTGATTCCATGGAATGTTGCTGCATACTAAAGCCTTACAGAGATCGATTGAAAATGTATTAACAGAGGATTTGGGTTTGACCTGTGTAAGAAGTAGTTGTTGTGGTGTGCTGTTCTTCTTCCCCTTCTTTGCTGTAATATGTGCAGTCGTTCTTGAGTGTTGTTCAAGTTGACATTTCTTTTCATATTTTACTTCCTTTCCGCAAACTTGACAGTATACGACGACACCGTCTGTTGAATAATCACTATTACCCGACACCCATCAATTTTTTAAATATCTACTGCTGCACTTTTCTTTAGGCATTTTCAGTATACGAACACTTTTTTGATGCAGACTATTAAAGAAAAAAAGTAACGCATTAACTGAAGAAACTTCTCTCAAGACCAACCCTCTGATGTTACTGTCTGCTGTGGTGGTCAAAGGAATGCAGGAATGCCGCTTCAGTCACATTCCACAGCTCGCATCACGTGTCAAGTCGATGGGCATAAACGATTCTTTTCAGATGGTCCCACAAGTATATGTGACGGAGGTTAGCTCTTTCTAAGGGACCCAACACAGTAGGTGTCTTCCCTCAACTCCTGAGGACGGAAACAGATCCATTTTCCGAAACGTTGTGTTCTATTTTTTTAGAATACCAAACGATGGACGAAGTCCAAAAACCCCGTAATTCTGAGTGTTATACTCGTAGACCGTCGTTAGTACCTTTTAGAATCTACTTGCATGACTACAACAGAAATCGAAATAGCTTTACAGCTTCTCTGTACCTAAAGCAAGTTATAAAACCTTCTGTAAACGTTAAAGTTGTCCCTGTGCTTAACTAATTAAGCACCATGCCATGAAGACGTATGGGGGAGTGGAAGTATAGATCCACGATTTCTTGACCTCGGCACTAGTTGGAGGTGAGTGGTCATCTTCAACCCCCGGCCGCTTTATTCCCGGGGAAACAACCTCCTGTACCCATTGAACAGGAAGTTTGGTGGATCCCAGAACCGGTCTGGACGACGTCAAGAAGAGAAAATTCTTGACCCAACCGGGCCTCGAACACCAATCCCTCGATCGTGTAGCCAGTAGCCAGTCGCTACACCTACTGCGCTATCTCGGCTCCACAAAACGTTCTGTACAGTCACAAAATATTCGCGATGTGTTTCGCTGACTGCAGCTCTATTTTCCGTCAGCACTTACATTAAACTACAATGACTTGCCAAAACTGTGTATTGATACAATCACATTTTGTACAATTCTTGTGAACTCGGGCGACCCTCCTCCTGGGGGCAAGGAGCCGACAACAATTTCAGACACTACGATCTACCATAAATGTCATGTACTCACATCTGGCCACATTTTTGCAGTCAGTGTGACGGACTGCTGAAACACATGGGTCTGAAATCGACCCTGTCCCAGGGACTCCTCATCTCCTGTAACAATACAAACATGAATACAGTGAGTATGAATAAAAACCAAAAGTCGGTGTAAACGAAAGAGATCTGATGTAAGATTTGAAATTTTCAGGGCGGTGCCTTCTAAGAATGCGGTCTTGTGGGATGTGACACCGTGTAGATCTTGTGTGAACCGACGTTTCGGAGGAACGTATCGCTTCCAACTTCAGGGTAGAAATATCCGACAGCGAGGAACCAGCCTGAGCGGGTGACTGTGGATTTTTCTACCCTGAAGACAGAGGCGATACGTTACTCCGAAAAGTCGGTTCACACAAGATCTACGCGGTGCCATATCCCAAAAGACAGCATTTTTGGAAGAGCCCTGAGTTCAACACCAGAAATGAAATACCCAACCAAGATGAAACTGTAAATAATTTAGTTGGTTATGAATTTCGTTACGCAACAGACACCTTACTTATGGAGCTGAGCCCTTCTTGAGAAGCCGCCAATTGTGCAGCCACTCAAGAATTTCCCAGCATTTTATGGAACCCAAAGGTTCATTACCGTGTTCACAAGAGCCCTCCACTGGTCCCTATCCTGAGCCACATCAATCCAATCCATACCATCCCATCCTATCTCTCTAAGATCCATATTATTAATGTCCACCCACCTACGTCTTTGTCTTCTTAGTGGACTATTTTCTTCTGGCTTTCAAACCGGAATCATGCATTCCGCTTCTCCCCATGAATGCTACATGCTCTGACCATCTCATACTCCTTGACTTGATCATTATAATTATGTTTGGAGAAGAGTACAAGTTATGAAGCTCCCCATTATGCAGTTTTCTCCAGCCTCCTGTCACTTCAGCCCTCTTCGGTCCAAATATTCGCCTCAACACCCTGTTCTCAAACACCCTTGGTCTGCGTTCCTCCCTTAATGCCAGTGACCAAGTTTCACACCCATACAGAACCACAGGCAAAATTATAGTTATGTATATTATAATTTTTGTGTTTTCGGACAGCAGACGAGAAGACAAAAGGTTCTGCACTGAATGGTAGCAAGCATTACTCGAGTTCAATCTCCTCTTAATTTCCTGAATCAGGTTTTGATTTGTTATCGTCGTACGGTGCAGAAACACACATGTTCAAATTAGTATCCAGCTACATGTTCAAAGAGTATGAGATAGTAAATCGCACACCGCTTTGGAAGTAGCCACTTTCAGTGACAACTTTACAGTTCATTTTGTCTTCAATATTTCACGCTTGTCGACAAGCAGGGCCTCCTTGAACTCAAGTTGACAGCTAGGAACCATGCGTCACTTCAAGAGGGAGGAAACTAAAAGGCACCCATCAGGCCAAAAGGAGTCATAAAGCAAATTTGACGCCTGACGCCGTCAGCCGTCTCTACGTTAAAACTGAATTTGTACCGATAAAGTATAAAAGTTGTCCATAGAGCTTGGACTAAGCTTAACTTATGAACAGACTATACAGTCAGTACATCAGAACCTGGAATTATAAAAGTGGTGGGATCGAGTTTTATGAATTACAAATGCAAACTGCAAGAATTTGTCGCGGTCGGTCCATCAGTTGTGCCCTAGTAGATCAGTGCAACAGCTTCTACAGAATTCGAACCGCTAGTCCGCTTTCCAAATCCAAGCTCGTACTTTGTGAGTAAGCTCCACCAAAATTAGCGTAAGGTAAATGTAAATTTATCCCTGGATTTATTTATTTACGTGCCGGTCACGGTAGCCGAGCGGTCTAAGGTATATACTGTCTTCGCTAGCTCTGAAGTCAGGATCGTGGGTTCGAATTCCACACAAGGCATGGATGTTTGGTGAGTGTATGCGTTTATTCTGTTTGTGTTGTCCTGTATTTAGGTAGAGGCCCTGCGACGAGCTAGTCCCCCATACCAGGAGACCTACCGACTGTGTACAGATTAAGAAACAGAAAAAGCGGCCAAGGACAGCAAGGGCTGCAGAGCCACAGATAGACAGATAAGACCTCGTTTGTAGTTTTTAGCATTCCCATTGGAATAGCTGTTTTTAACGACGCTGTCAGTATCAAGAACAAACCCTCTTGAAAGTTGTTATGTGTGGGTGTTACTTCTATTTTTAATCGATTCAGAACAAACAGATATAAAGGTGAACGCTGTTCGTTAATATTATAAAAAGTTAAAGTTGTTTCTGTGCTTAACTAATTAAGCACTACGTCATGAAAGCGTATGAGGGAGTGGCTGTATAGATCCACTTCTTTTTACCTCGGCACTAGCTGGAGGTGAGTAGTTAGCTTCATGTCCCTGCCGCTTTAACCCTGGGGAAAGAGCCCCCGGTACCCATTGGACAGAAAGCTGGATGGGCCCCAGAGTCGGTCTATATGACATGAAAAAGAGAAAATTCTTGACCCTACAGGGACTTGAACTCCAACCTTTTTGTCGTCCAGCTCGTACCCAGTCGCTATACCGACTGCGCTACTCAGGCTCTTGGGTACAATAGGAAAATAGCTTCAAACCTCACAATGAAGAGCACGAGTATCAAACAGTTCTTAGTTGACAGGGAATTACTTCCGCTCTTCGTAGCTTTGCTCGACACTGCGTAGCGTCACGTTCCTGCCTAACGTACGCAATTAATACTGTGCAATGTTATTTTGCAAAATGTACAGTAGACTCTCGATTATCCGCGCGCTGTTTAACCGCTTTGCGGCTCAACCGCGGCAATGTATTTTTAAAGATTTTTTTTTTTCAGTGAGTATCACATTTGTTTAAATGTTTTGTATGACAGTCAATGTTAGTTTACTATAATTTAGAGAGAACTGTACTCGCATTTACGTCATCCATCGATATTCTCCCGTTATTTTTCTTAAAAGCTCGAAATCAGGTTTCGAAAGCTCGAAACCTACCCTTTTTCCAACAAGTAGAGAATGTTAAAGAACCTTGACCAGCAAGGAGCCATAAATCTGTCTGGTGTGAGACCTCAATTAGCAAAGGGACCAACAAAGACCAAACTCAGGCACCAGTCAATCTGTAGTAGTGGGAGGAAGGAGAGTTCTTTT